CCATGCCGGATCTCCGGCGTGCGGCCATGAGGGGAAAAAAAAAATTCAGAGCCTGCATATACGGTTTAATTATAGGGATCCTCAAAATAACCGATTAACCGTTAACCGAAAGAGTGCGTTTGTAACCGATTAATGGAATCAGTTAAACGATCAAAAAATATACTTTATATATTTTTAAAGTTTGGCTGCATAAGGGGCGTCTGTTAAATGGTTTACTAACGACCGCGAGTGTTTTGCTGTTGCGTGCTGTGTGCTCGAGCGGGAAAAAGCGTTTTACTTCAGTCTCGTCTTTTTTATTCTTCAATCAAATGAAAACACTGCAGGGTTTCTGTTGAGTGACAGCAGTGTTTGGGTTGTCAAGGCGACTATGGCAAACTTTTAATTATGAAGGAGACTTGTGGTCGCTGTTACATCCAGAGCTGTATTACTTCACAGATCTTGAATATGACAGCAACATGACTCGCGCACACCAGCTGATTCAGTCGTTTTCCAGTGACATAAAAAAGAATGCCGGGCTTCTTTTTTTGTCACAAATGTTGCCAAGGACTACATTTATGAATATAATGTTAAAGGCGATTCAGCGAGTTCAAATTCAGCCATGAAACTTGTTGGAAAACCTGTTACATTGCCAATTTGGGAACATTTTGGATTCGTGCCGAACGAGAAAGGCGAACCAATAATTTAGATGAAGCTATTTGTAGGGCTTGTTTTTTTTATTTAAAAAATTCAATAAATAAATTAATAGATAAATAAATAAATAAATAAATAAAACACCTTACGGATAGGATGCAACAAAGAAAAAGCATGTTTTTAATCATTCTTTATAATCTGATTCATAGCCTACATGTAATAAACCCATATTGTGCCAACAAGAACAAGCTCTAAAAGGTAAAAGTTTAAAGTGAGAGGAGTTATTGATATGTTATTAATATTAGTTGTATTATTAGTCTCCCTTTTCTCTACCTTCTTAAGGTTTTTGCTTTTCTTCTTTTTTTACTGTCTGTAAAGGGTCCTTGAGCACTGGTGCCATATAAAATAAACAAAAACAATAAAAACATTTGTAGCATATTATATTTTTATCTTCATCTTTTCTATCTTTTGTGTGGGGTTTGTAAAAGCTTTGCCCTTGTCTCGTGCAGGTCTTCATCACATTGTCTGTAGTTGCAACTTTCATTTTCTCTGTCTCCTCATAAACTTCTTTACTTTACTTCTTTACTGTAAACATGACATCGTCTTCATTTTGTGTTATGTGGATGGCTAGTGGCTTAAACGAATCCGGTAGTCCTCGGAGAACCATCGCTATGGTTAGTCAATGCTGTGTACATGTTTATTATGCGTGGTTTACTTTTGCCTGAATAAAGCTCTTTCAGTATTTTTAGGGCTCCTGTCATTGGCAGCATTGTGTCTTACTAGTGAAAGGCTTTTATCATCGATCAGTTCAGCATAACAATCAGTGTTTTTCCGCCTGTCCTCATGTAGTTGCTCCGCTTCAGCATCAGTAGGCTGATGCAGTATAGTTTCTTTTAGCTTCAGAGTGTGTAAATATCCTAGAAATCTCGTCTCCCATAGATCAAATTTTTCTTCTGATCCATCGAACATAAACTGCGGCGCTAGATATCCTCCCGCTCTGCTTACCATCTTTCCTAACTTTGCACCTGAATACGTCGCGTTAACTTTGCTTTCTTGAAAACGATCGCTAGTCTCGCTGCCTGGGCCCATAACCTGTTGAGCTTGGAGTGCGTAGCTTAAGCACTAGACAGAACGAATCGTTTCATCCCCGTCTTTTATTACACACTTTCACATGCTCTCTCTGTACAGCATGACCACGAGACGGTAACACTTCTGTTTATCAACAGTATAACGTGGAGACGTTAAGCACGTAAACAACATGACGTCATCACTACAGTAACGTAATGCACTGAAGCATAATTATGAACCCTTCAGTGATTAATATTAATACAATGAGTAAGAGTGCCAGTATTTATATAATATAATCCATAATAGACGTAGTGGAGAAAACTCGCACCAAAGGCACACTCGTGTCTGGATCCAATATTATTGCTTAAACAGATAAGAGGAGAGGAAATTTCAGCACAACAGGTCAAATTTACAAAGTGAGAGAGAGGCAGAGATGAAGTTTTACAGCATTTCTCCGTATAGTGAAATAGTGGCTCGTGTGCTGTGCAGCCTTCAATTGCCCTCGCCTCCATCCTAGTATTGCGACATCGCGCATAGGAGATGAATGACGTCAGTACGTAATAACCAGTTATGATCTATTACTGAACCAATACCGATCATTTTGGCACCCCTAGTAATGAGTAACGATGCAGCAAATTAAAAGTTTATCGGAGTAAAAGTATTAAACTCATCGAAAATATGTACTGAAGTAAAAGTGTAAGTAAGAGAAAAAAACAATACTCCGGTAAAGTACAGATACTGCCTTTTAGTACTTAAGTACAGTACATGACCTTTTTTAATTAAAAAATATTAAATACTCACCATCATCTTGGTTCACAATCCTTTCCAAGCATCACATCTGAACTTCCACAATTTGAAATTTTATTCTCCTCTTTTCAACTCCCTACAACTTCAGAAATTTGTAATCTTATTTCCAAATCTAAAGGCCCATGCACACCGAGATGTTTTTTTCTCGCGTTTTCCGTCGACGTTTAATGCCTCGTGACTAAATAAAGGGCGTCAATGTGATTGTGCACACCAACGCGCAAAACGCCAGGCGCAAAAGTGGCATTTTTTAAAAAACGCCTCATGCTCGTTTTTTTGTTTTGACGCACGGCGTCAAAACCTTCTCCACCAATCAGATCTGCACTTTAGTTCATGTGCACAAGGCTGCTGAAGTTACCATAAACAGCACTTGGAGGCGCTCAAGCACAAAACTGTCAATGCGAGCGCACATTGAAGAAGATGCCCAGAGGCGATATGAACGTGGAGCTGCTTATTGCTCTGTGAACACTAATCATTTCTTCATCACTAGAGCAGGAGCTGCTGCTTGAACCATCCATGCTTGTTCGAGTCACCAGTAAATTTAGCAACAAGCGTGTGAACGTCCGCTCCTCCACTTCTTCTGTGTTATAAACAGGTGTCAGAAGCTTATAGTTGTGTAGCGCCATCTAACGTCAAAAGAGTGATTTAGCATACTCGTCTGCTTGACGCCAGTAAAAAGCGCTTGGGTTTGAACACTAAAAAACGTCTCGTAAAACGCTGACAATAAACGCAAACTAAAAACGTCCCGGTGTGTATGAGCCTTTAGTCATCTTCCTCTCATTTAGATCCTCTCCCCACTGTTCTGGTTATAGCCTGTCTCCCTTCCCTCATCCCTCTCATTTTAGCCATTATTCACTCTTCTCTTTCTACTGGAACTGTTCCTGCTTCCTTTAAAACTGCAGCAATTACTCCAACACTCAAAAAACCGGGTTCAGGCCCATCTAATTTTAATAATTTACGACCTATTTCTAATCTACCATTTATTTCTAAAATCCTTATCTCAGAATAACCTGTATGAACAGTTCCAGTCTGGTTTCCTGATTAAAATCACCAATGACCTTTTTATGGCAGCTGATTCTGGACTAATATCTATTCTCATTCTCCTCGACCTGAGTGCGGCCTTTGACACTATTTGTCACAGCACCCTCATCAATAGACTATCCACTTTAGGCATCATCAATACCCCACTTGACGGGTTTAAATCTTATCTCTGTGGCCACAGCTCATTAAACTCAAATCATTCACTTCTCAGCATTTTACAGTATCTTCGGGTGTTCCCCAGGGCTCAGTCCTGGGGCCCCTACTTTTTATCATCTATCTCCTTCCATTTGGTAATATTCTCTGTAAATATAACATACATTTTCACTGCTATGAGGATGACACCCAGCTCTATCTCTCTGGCAAACCCTCTTCTTGTTTTCCACCTACATCCCTTACAGTCTGCTTAGCAAAAAATCAAGTCCTGGCTCTCTCTTAACTTCCTCAAACTAAATAGTTCAAAAACTGAGGTTTTGCTTCTTGGTACCAAACCAACACTCTCAAAAACGGACAGCTTTTCTCTTTCAATTGAAGATTGTTCCATCTATCCCTCTAAACAAGTTAAGAGTCTGGGTGTCATCCTTGACAGCACCCTATCTTTTGATTCTCACATCAATAACATCACCCGGTCTGCTTACTTCCACCTACGCAACATCAACCGACTCCGCCCTTCTCTTACCCCTCATGCCACTGCTGTTCTCGTTCATAGCCTTGTCACATCTCGTTTAGATAACTGCAACTCTCTCTTCTCTTTGGTCTCACTCATAAATCTCTCCGTAAGCTTCAGTTGGTCCAGAACTCAGCTGCCCGTATCATCACCTTTATGCAGATGCTGTACAGGTATGTCTCATGTCTGAGAGGTAAATATTCAGCTGTTTGTTCGGCTGTTACCTCAGAACTTTTTTTCTGATGCATTTACCAGTCAGGCACAGAATGAACAAGTATTCCCTGTCTGCTTTACAAATTTTAGAAAAACATGTAATTTTGAATACGAATAAAAATGGCCATTTACAGCTTTCAAATGTGTGTCTTATTAATATGACCAAAATGACTTTTATGAGAAACTTGGAAAACTCAACTGACACTGTTTCAATTTACTATAACTTCTATGTTAAGCGGCTTTGACACAATTTACATTGTAAAAGCACTAGATAAATAAAGATGATTTGAATCTGCTTAAATGTGTACACGTTAATGGACCAAACATAATATGATCTGATTTTTTTGACATTTAATGTGCATCAAAGTTACAGTGTGTGTAGCCAATGTTTCCAGTGTCTTTTCACTTTTCAGCTTTTGATGAGTTTTTAAGACTTAATGAAAACTAATGTTTTATTTATTTCAGACATAATTGAAGAGAATCAGGGGAGTAAAGAGGAGAAACATCATGTCAAAATTGAGGAAAAAACTCATTTACAGACTGATGATATTTTTAAAAGGAGAGTCAGAAATCGTTTCACCTGCACTCAGTGTGGGAAGAGTTTTGGAAGAAAAGACATTCTTAAGATTCACATGAGGATCCACACTGGAGAGAAACCATTCACGTGCACTCAGTGTGGGAAGAGTTTCAGTTCCTCATCACACCTTAATGAACACATAAGGACCCACACTGGAGAGAAACCATTCACATGCACTCAGTGTGGGAAGAGTTTCAACCGATCAGAACACCTTAATGAACACATGAGGACCCACACTGGAGAGAAACCATTCACATGCATTCAGTGTGGGAAGATTTTTAGCATATCATCATCCCTTAATCGACACATGAGGATCCACACTGGAGAGAAACCATTCACATGCATTCAGTGTGGGAAGAGTTTCAGCCAATCATCATCTCTTAAGGAACACATGAAAATCCACACTGGAGAGAAACCATTCACATGCACTCAGTGTTGGAAGAGTTTCAGCCAATCATCGTGTATTAAGGAACACATGAGAATCCACACTGGAGAGAAACCATTCACATGCACTCAGTGTGAGAAGAGTTTTACCCGCTCGTCACACCTTAATCGACACATGAGGATTCACACCAGAGAGAAACCATTCACTTGCACATGAGCCGTGGTCACACTGGACTTTTCTCCCCATTGACTTCCTTTCATATGCACGCGAATGTGTCACACTGTTAAAAATTGTCCCGTTAAAAAACAGTAAAATACTGGCAGCTGCAGTTGCCAGCAATGTACTGTTATTTTTACAGTCTATTTCCGTAGTGTAAATTAACAGTATATTACTGTTAAAATACATTTTTACACTGTGTTTTTACCTCTCACACCTTTAACCCTTTAAACCCCAGAGCATATACTTCAGTTTTTATTGAAGTGTCCACACTACTGAGTGTTCAAGAAACATGTAGCAAAGCTGAAGTAAATTAATTAATTAACTGACTAATTAAATGATAATTGAGGATTAACAATGAACAAATGAAGAAATACCGAAGGGAAAAAACAAGAACAAAACATACAAAACTTTAGTCACAGCTTTATAATGAAATAACCTGAAGAACAACAAATGATTAAATCACTTAAATGATCAGCGGATGATTAAACAACTCTACAAACATCATCACCAGCTACACTTATTACTTAATACATGTATTTTTGTATAACATTTACTAAAGTTCTTCTTGAGAAAAAGTTAAAGTTTTACGTCACCATCATGGAGAACAGAGTTTGCTTTAGTTGGGCTCTTAGCCCTGTCATTTTTAACATTTATATATCTTGGCTGCTGCAATTGTTAAGAACTTTATTTAAAAAGCTCCTTTGTTGTGGCAAACCAGCCAAAAACCTAAATAAGATCTGGTGATGTTCATGTTGCTATTAAATGGCAGAGTCTGTTCTCATTTAGTATAATTAAATTTACTGCTCCTATTCAATGTTAAATCTATTGTTTTACATTATATGTCTATATATGGCAATGATTTCTGGAAGTTTTTAAGAATATCTTGGACAATAACACTGCTCTATGGTGTAAATCTCACTCAAAGAGACATCAATAATCAGCACATGAACCTCAATAATGGTGACAACTAACAAAATTAACAGTTTAACTCACAAACAGGCAACTGAAAGTCTAAACATAAACAACAGCAGAATCAAACACAAATAAAGAAAACTGTGAGACCATTATACAACATTTATTTATACCGCAATGCATGCTGGGATATTTGTACCGTGCCACTCCCAGCATGCATTGCAGCATGAAACATTTGAGATGTTACCATTGTTGAGATACAAGTTCAGATTCATGAGGTCTGAGTGTGTATTTGTCATAACTGAACTGTTTTTGTATGTTATTTCTTCACTGTTAAGTAATTACGTGGGTATCTTTTCTGTTTCCACTTCTCATTAATTAAATTAATACCTGCAACTAAGCATAAAATCTATTGCATGAGGCACTTCTTCCAGATTTATAACATAACATTTATCAGAACTAATTTCAGACAAATAGATTTCTCTATTTATTGACTTTCCAACTTGATTACTATAATACAAGTATTTTGTTAACTCTTTATTATAGTAATTGGAGAGTCTGAATTAATAAGTTCAAAGGTGAAGAGCCCAACTAAACCAGCCCCTCACTCCATTACGGTGACACAAAAAACACCTTAATTTCTGTTGGATCTCAATGAGAATAGTATGGAAGTCAAATCAGTCAGTAATAAGTGTGTCTGCTGTTGTTTGTGGAGTTGTTTAATGATCCTCTGCTGAGACTGAAGCTGTTTTATTTTATTTGATTTTATTTAATGTTGTAACTCAAGTCACTGTTTGTGTTTCTTGTTTATTTTCTTCAGTAATTGTAATTATTAACAGCAGGTGTTCATCAGTGTCTGAATTCACTCATTAGTGTTCATTAAAACTGTCAGGTGAACTATTTTAGTTAACTAGTGTATGAAATAGTGAACAAGGACACAAAGTGTGATTTCAAACACAGACTTCAAAACATCGAATCTGAACTCTGTTAGCTCACAGTTTTCTGCAGTTGGTTACTTTCTCGAAAACAAAAATGTTACCCAGAAAGCACTGTTTTTAACAGAATATTACTGTTTTAGTGAAAAAACATTATTTTACCGTAGAATCTGACCGTTTTCTAACAGCAATTTTTTACAGTGCAGACCGGAGACATTTGTGCATTAAGTGTTGCAGTTCACTGCGTTTCAAAGTTCAGGCTTGGTGAACTCTGACCTGCAAAATTACATCACTTGACTGTGTGAGACCAATTAAAGATCAAAACATGACCTCTCTGGACAGAAATTTAAAAAATGTACCAATCGCTCACTTTTTTAAATGTCTAATCATCTTGTTTGTTCCCACTTCTTTTCGCAACACCGTACAACAGAATTTCGCATGCTCAAACTCTAGTGTGACCCTGCTTCGATGTGGGATGAGTTTCAGCAACTCTTCGGACCTTGATAAACACATGAAGACCCACACTGAAGATAAACCATTCACATGCACTCAGTGTGGGAAGAGTTTCAACCGATCAGCAAACCTTAATGAACACATGAAAATCCACACTGGTGTGAAAGAGTATTCGTGCTTGAGTGTGAGAAGACTTTTATTACAGCTCCAAAATTGAAACGGCACCAGACGTTTCACACTGGAGAGACCGTACAAGTGTTCACACTGTGACAAGAGGTTTAATCAGTAACACATCTGAAAACACAAAAGAGAATTCACACTGGAGAGAAACCATACAGTTCTGATCAGTGTTTACAGAATTGGACAAAAAGTTGCACACATGACATGAATGCAGCAAAACATTTTCTCATGTGCACAGGATGTTTCATGTCTGAATAATGTTTGAAAAGGCTGAGTGTCGATAAACTGTTTTCCAACACTCCTACACTGCAGTAGGTGGGGTTGTAAATGTGTTTCGCTCCTCGTGTTTACTGTAAACACATTGACAGCAGCTGAGAGAAGAACAGTTTCATAAACATCTGGCAAACAGCACCTCTGTGGCTTAAAATCTCTCTTTGCAAGTGATTGTACAGGTGCGGATACATCTGTACTCCACTCTCCAGTGTATTCATGTAGCTGGTGTTGTTTTGGATGATGTTCTCTGTCTGACTCCCTGAATGAGAAACATCACTGGAAAGACACCGCACATCAATGAAGGTGGAGCTCCAGGACGGTCAGTTTGCAGTATATCAGGGCCTCAAGTTTAGAAAGCCCATTCAATTGTCCTGTGTTGAATCTTTTATTAGTTAAGTTTCTTTACTTTTAGATTTAAGATTTTTTCTGGCTTACTGCATTTACTTTTTTTGAGTAGAATACAAACTTGATGAATATTAAGTTTTACAGTGTGATGATCCCATGACTCCAGGTTGGAGTATGTTGTAAATCCTGATTGTATGCCTGCATTACTCTATAATGGGTATATAAAAGTTGTTGTGCTAGCTACCCCAGGATGCTGAGGTTACTCACGAGTCCTCATGTTAAGACCTGCCATCTTATTGACTCTCTAACCTTATGTTTTTGTTTTGCATTATTTATATCATGTAGTTAAAGTGTTGATGTGATTATATCCTAGGTTCTTTATCTTCATTAGTATCCCTAGTAATTTGTTGGTTTCTTTGATTGATTGTTCTGTGAGTTACATTTTATAATAAATAATTTGCATTCAGGCTATTTTGTTGGTTCATCTCTCTTTTATGTTGTGACTCAAACAAGCGGGTCATAACACTTTGTAAAATGTGTCCAGTTGTATTCGAGAGCTTGTCCTTTAAGTCATGACTATAGTGTGAGACGGAACCTAGACTAAGCAGTAGATTGAGAACATTGCCATTCGTCTTAGCTCCTTCACCACAACAGACAATCACATCAACTGCATTACTGCTGCCGCTGCACTGATCCATCTTTAAATCTCACATTCTCCATTGCTCGTGTGGTTCTCAATTCTGGTGCTTGTGCAAAAAGGTTAACAACCGTCCCAAATTAATTTGAACTCTTATTACTATATCATAGAATCACACATGAGAAATCCTAAAAGCAGAGATTTGGCTCACCTATAACTGCTAAAGATCAATTTGCACCAGTTCAGCAAGAGACAACATTTGTTTGAGTTTCCTCGCTGACAGGCCTTAACAAAACACGGCGTTCCTAATTGGTTGGTGACTCCACTTCAGTGACGTCCTTGGGATTCACTCGCCGTCTCGGTTGGTTACTGGGGTGACAGACTCTGCTGAGGGTCAGTTTGCAGAAGTTTTTTTGCGGTTTCGACGGTTCCTAAACTTTTGGACGTTGCGTGGAAAGTTCTTTGCCACCAGATTGTGAGGAGGTGCAGTGTCCAATAGCAAGGTGAGAGGGGACAGAGAGCAGCAGCGAGCATAAGTGAGCTAATGCAAAAAGCAAAGTTTTACTGTTGCTGTAGGTTTTTAAGTGATCTGGTTTGGTCTATCCCAATGGCACTGTCTTCCAATGAGCAGTTGCCATTGTTGAAACTCAATGCAAAGGATGTTGCAGATCTCAAAACCAGTTCGAATCAGACTCGGAAACTGGTTGCCAAATTGTCTGTAGTCATTGAACCAGCTTGAGGGCTTAAACCACCACAACAACAAAGCACCAATTGATTTTGGGTTCTTCTGACCCATACTTCTCTGCAGATGTTCTGGTACCCTCCAGTGAAATTAATAAATGGCTTAAACCAAACAAAAGGGGCTTTACAGGATTTTCAGTGGGAACCGCCTCATGAGACTTTTGAATGACTCACGGTCATGCGTTAGTAATAGGGTACAATTTCATAGACACAAAGAGAAACCAAACTGCACGAACTTCCGCAAACCGACTCTCAGCAGTCCATCACCTCGGTAACCCAGGACAACAGCCATTCATGAGCATGTGAATCCTAAAGACGTCATAGAAGCGAACCACCACCCAATCAGGAGCACCGTGTTTCCCCAAGACCAGCCGGCGAGGGAAACTTGACTTCAGCATTTAAAACAAACTAATGTTGTCTCTTGCTG